TAGTTCTCCTCCTCTTGAAGAATTCCCCAACATCAAGCATGTATGGCGGACCCGGAGTTTGAGTGGGGATTAGTCTTCAACGCCGACGGAAGTATTAACATCTTGCGATCGTCGTGCTTCGATGGAGGGTTTGAAGACGAAGCCACCGTGGAAGAGTACTTGGAGAGAGTCGTCCCGATCCTTGCAAGCATCTACGACCGACAACTTTCAAAGCACACTTGGAGCCTCGACGGTCACCTACGACATCCATCCCCACCGGCTACTCTTCCTCCGACGAAGTTCTTCGGCGCCCTTTCTCTAGTGGTAACTTCCTTCATCGCTTGGATCTTCTATCTCTGCCAAAAGTCCACCAACCTTTGAGTGATACGGCCCCAAGGTGAAATTCTTGTTGTTAAACGTTGGGTTTTGTTGCTTGTACTTTGCATTTAATTCCCCTTGAATTTTGAATGAACTATTTTGGTTAATCTCAAGTGCATCTCTTTGGCCTAAACAAGTCAACATTTTGAATTCATAACTCTAATTTTTATGTGCTAGTTTTAAATTCGTAAGAAGCAATACTTTAATCGTTTCTTTTAAATTTCTAAACAAACTCCTCGTAGTTTCACATCAGAACTACTCCCTTAAAACCTACAAAACCATGAGATGCAAGTCGAAGTATTCTTACCCTTTAGGAGAAAGTAAGCAAGCAAACAAAATAAAGAAATATTTTATTACAAAGATCTTTTGGCATGCACTCAAAATGGGTCTCCAATTGCCAAAATATCATCATTGCAAGCAGGCAAACAAGGTCAATAACCCAAACACCATCGAATCATCAATCATTCGATAGAGAATTGTTTCATTTTCAATGACTAGGTAGAAAAGAGCTAGTGAAATGAAAAGCACGCTCTTTCTAGTAATATAATGGTCTATCCAAAAGAGAAAAGCACAATATAATCTCAACTATCTTGTCCATAATGCAGGAGATAAACATGAGACAGCACCATAAATGGAAGACTCTACTTGTCATGATGCATAAGATAAACATGGACGAGAACCTTTTATCTCAAAGAAAACCAAACAATATTTAAAATCCCTTTAGATCTAAAGAGTGTTCATTGGGAAAATTCTACAAAACCACAACTTGACTCGATGGTTTTCCCTCCAAGGAGATCCTTCATTGAAAATCACCTGTTTGATAAGGGTCAAATTTTAAATAACTCCAAAAAATAAAAGGGAAATTAAGTTTGCATCATCATCGAACATCAAAGATCAAAAAGAAAATAAGCTTAGCAAGCTGAAAATAGAAAAACTCATAAGCTTATAACTATCTCAATGAATACAAATAATCACTGAGACGGTCAGTAAGGTTAAAAGAGTAAATTTTCAAGCCCCACCTTGATCCTAAATCAGATAAAAACATAAAAGACACTCTCAAAGAGACGTGCTAATATCCAAAGAGTGCCCCAAAGAAGCCCTCACAATCTTTAAAAGAATCACCCTTTACTGACTCAAAGGAATAACTTCACTCCCAGATGAAGAATATAAAGATGAACCAAAGATGACCTATTATGTCAAAGGCCTTTTGCTTGGTAGTAACTCTGATGATTATGACGAATTTGAAGAAGAAACACGCACAAGTACATCTTCCATCAATTATAGCTCATCCAAGGAAACGAAACTGTTGGATATTGGTCCTAAATTTAGTTGTGCACTTTCTTGAATGGCTTTTATTGCTATTGCTGTAGCTTTTGTGTCTATAAATAGAGGCTATAGGTTGTAATAAGTTGTATGGTCAAGCAATAAAGAATTAGTTTGCTGCTCTCCCTTCTCCCTTCCCTCGCTCCCTCGTCCTCTCCCAAGAAGCTCATGTAGGAAGGGCTTCTTCCTCTCATAGAAGATCCTAACATCTGGTATCAGAGCCTAGTAGAGGCAACCGAGCAAGGTGGAGGAGGCAGAGGCATTTTTCTTGTCTAAAGAAAACGATTCAAGAAAGGGTCTGGCCATGTTCTGCTTGCACCAGTTGGAAGATTTGGTTGAACAGGGACGTTGGAGGAACTGCGGCAATTTCACAAGGCCGGGGTCGTTGGCCTGAACGCGAGGCTTTAGAGCGCACAGAGAGGGAGAAGCCACGAAGGCTGCACAGTCGCCAAGGGCACGGGAAATCCCCCGCGGTGAGCAGGCTTCCGCACAAGTGGACTGGCACGGGTTTGTTTCTTGGAGATCTCCTGTCTTCAAGAAGAAAATTTATTCCAGGCAGAGTTATTGACGGGAGATGAAGGGCTTCCGCGTGCAGTGTTGAGTTCGGGTATAGGCAAAGGCAGTGCTTGCGTGTGGAGATTGTCGGGGTTGGTCAAGTTGTTGCTGACGGACTCGGAGGCTTGCGGAGTCTGGGCTGGTCAAATTCTCAGAAGGAGAAAATGGAAGATGATGGCTCTTGTTTTAAGGCAAGGAAGGTTTTGTTAAATTGAGAGTGACCTCATAACATAAATCATAGATTGGTTGGAGCTTGATCAAAAAAGATCTTGCGGCTGTAAGCTGACCAGTAGAGTGGAGAACAATAGAGTTATTATTTTTGTTGTGTAAAGACCGCGGGAAATCTTGTGAATTGATAGAAAGATTGAGTTCGGCCAGAGAGTGCGGGGTTTTCGCAAGGTCGAGTAAGCCGGTGTGGGATTCGGCATCGGACTGGAGCGGCAAGTTTTGAAGAGACTAGTGTGAAGGTTCTTGCAACCATTTTTGTTGTATGAGAGAAAAAGATAGCTACAGAAGTGTGGATGCAGTAGAGGCCACAAAGAGATTGATCTTGCTTCTGGGAGTGGAGACGATGATCAGAGATTTCTTCATGGAAGGACCTTATAATTAACATCGCAACGAAAGACCAGTTTGGATCTTTGAGGTGGAGTCAGCCTGTTCTCGAGGAGCAGTGTCGGGCGGGGAACTCAAAGGAGCGTTGGCATGCGGGGAGATCACACAAGAGTAGGCGAAGGACGCGCAGGGCGCGGGTGAATGCGCAAGGTGTGGGATTGAGACTAGTAGGGCGCAGGTGAAGGCGCAGGGCTCGATGCGCAGGTGGATACACCCAGGATGTGGTTGGAGTCAGACCACATGAGTGCAAGGCACAGGAGTGGGCCTTGAGGCGCAGAGCGCAAGCACGAGGCACAGGGTGCAGGTGGACGCATAGGGTGCGTCGTGTTAATCGCCTGGTGGACACTATTAGCGGGGAAGACCAGCGAGGCTATTATTTGTGGACATGAGTTATCTTTTTGTGTAAATCTAAGACAATTGTAGAAATTATTGGATATTGGTCATAAATTTAGTTGTGTACTTTCTTGAATGGCTTGTATTGTCATTAGTGTAGCTTTTGTGCCTATAAATAGAGTTTATAGGTTGTAATAGGTTGTATGGTCAAGCAATAAAGAATTACTTTTCTGCTCTCCCTTCCCTCTCTCCCTCCTCTCCCAAGAAGCTCATGAAGGAAGGGCTTACTCCTCTCTTTGAAGATCCTAACAGAAACAAATTCAATTAGTGAGGGGTGCCTATGTTTAGGCTAAGCCACTTGTCAAGCACTTGAAAAATTAAGATAAACTAGAAATTCAACAACATGCAAAGTAAATAGTTTTCAACAAAATCCCTAATCTAGCAATAAGATTCGAAACATGGAAAGCATATTCAATCCTACGTTTACTAAGCTTAGGCATAAGGCAAAGCACGACTCCTTGTGATTTGTCATCACCTACAAGGTCAAAGGATTAAGAAAGTAACTAAAAAGGGGAAGAAGTTCACCTTTGTCGAAACCCAAAAACAAGTAGGCGAGATGTTGAAGAAGTTCATCGTAACTTCCTTTGAAGGTTCAACTGGAGAGGAAGAAGTCTCTCCCAAGCATTGAAGTGTTGAAGGTGATGATCCTTTGTTGTCCTTGTCGTTTCCCCTTGAAAGGGAGAGGTTTCTTTCAAGAATCAAAGTAGGAAGTCGCAAGAGAGGGTGGCCGGCCAAGGAGGAAGACTAAGGTAAGATTGAGTTTAGATTTTGAGAAGAGTATTATGGAGGGAAAGTTGAAATTAATTTCCAAATCAATTCTTTAGGCTTGGAAATAACTTAAATAGAATATAGAGGTAAGAGAGAGGGGGGCCGGTAGAGTAGAACAGAATTTGGGATTTAATTCCAAGGGGGAAAACTTAATTTTGGGAAGGAATTAAGTGGGAGGGCCCTTGGGAGTTTCAGCCAAGCAAGAGGGAGGGGGTTGTGTGTCTAGATTCAATGTTTTTGGAGTTAGGGCATTAATTACTCAATTAATTCATATTCGGATTAATTGATTTATTTAATGGCCTTTCCAAAAATAGAATTAATGACATAGGAAGGATTTGAGATTTAAATTTGAGTTATTTCAAAATTCAAACTCCTTCCATATATAGTTGGAATTAAATAAGGAAAGTGAAGCTTTAGGAAACAAATCTAAATTTAAATCAAAGGGAGGGCCGGCGGCTAATGGGATAGGGAGAGAAATTAAGGAATTAATAGCTTCCTTAAGTCATGGACTTAAATTTAGGATGAAACATTTCATTCTAATTTAACTTTAATTCAATATGCAAGGATTTGGAAAGTTTCCTAAAATAGGAGTGATGGTTTAGGTAACTTTTCAAATTCAAATTATTTGAATTTGATAAGTTAATGAGTAACCTAAATTAATAAACCCAATTAGGAAAGGAATCAATATAAGCAAGGATGGAGGGAAAAAACTAAGGGGAAAGGGGGCGGCTTGGGCTTGGGTTCGTTTGTATGAAGGGCCGGTGGTGGGGTGGGGCTTTGGGTAAGCGGGTTGCGGTTGTGGTGGGGGAAGGAGGATGGTGGCTTGAGGTGGTGGTGATGGGAGACGTTGGCCGGCATCAAGGTGGGGTGGCTAGGAAGTTCGGCAGCAAAGAGGAAGAGAGATTGAAAGAAAGAACGATAAAACAAACCACGAACCCGGCCGTCTCCAAGGTTGGTGGGTGATCCGTTTTCCCTCTCCTATGGATCTCTCTCTCTCTCCAAGCACTCTCAAGATCTCTTAAGAACTTAAGCAATAGCACAAACTTTTTTTATCATTCAATCATTAACTTTCAAAAAGAAACATAGGGGCTATAAATAGCCTCGTACATAGGATTCAAAATAAGAAAGACGACAATGCCCTCAGGGCCTACAAACGACCTCCCTTAAGGGATAAAAATGGAAAAAAACAAATACAACATAAATAACAAGAGACAAATAACATAATAAAAACAAATACATGAAATGACTCAAGAATACATCAACTCGATCGTGGTCGTAAATCGACGATCACGCCTCTTATACACTTTCCATGCTCTGATGCCCCAATCAGAACACCTCTAGTTCTTATAGTCACATCATCACAAACATATTTAAGAAAAAAAATTGAAATTTAAAAGCTACAAAATAAATCAAACAGTCCTTAAATTAATAAATCACAATTTTTTCATCATAGAACACCCTACTTGCACTTATTATAAGTGCAGCCTTCATTTCTCCACCATTAGTTCGCTTGGATTTTTCCATTTTCATAAAGGAAGTGGAGAACTTACCACCAAAATTGCTTCATGAAGCAATTCCAAAATTAAATTTCAAGAGGACCTTTTCAAAATAGAAATTTGGAAAAGCAACTCAGTCCTCTTTATCCAAATGAGCTTAACCAGCTTTGTGCCAGTCCTCTATTGCAACCCAGGAGGTGAGAAGCCCAACCAAATAAGCCCTAGAGAATTATGCCTCATCTGAACTATTGTCACTCACCTCAGGTGAATTTAAGCATAGTGCCTTCATAATGCCTCTCATCCCAAGTGATATTAGGCCTAGAACATTAATAATGCCTCTCACCTGAATATGATAAGATCTAAAACACATTTCGAGGAGAATAATGAAAACAAGTAAAGGTTGTAGTTAGAAAGCATTATCTAAACATTGTCACTAATTCAAAAAATTGTTAAATATTGACAAATAGAAGACCTCTAAGAAATATTTATTAATAGAGACCTCTTAAATATTCCTATTAAGAGAGAGCATTAACAGCCATATAAATAAATATAACTGAAATGATTTCCCATTTCATTTAACAAGCTTTAAAATCATCTAGCCATTGTCACGATTCCCATTAAAGTAAATAATATAACAAAAAAGATTTCCCTTTTAAAAATGTTCAAAATTAAAAAATAGAATACTGCTAGACATTAAAAAAGACCTCTAAAATAAGCTTATTAAAAGATAACATTACCAAGCATGCAAATACAAAATTAAACATTCAGCGCCATATTTGTTTTGATATCTCAACCAATCGATATGATGTATAAATTACTTTAAAAAAAACATATATCAGATAGTAAAAAGCAAATAAATAAAAAAGGATAATAGCATTGATAAATAATTACAGTGAAAAAGGTGTTTGGCGAGTGTTTCGTTGGGCATATATTCAGCCACAAGTAGCCTCTCGTCACCTTCACAACAACAGCCAAGCAAGTTTGCCAATCTTTGGTTTCGAAGCTGGCCAACAGCCTTTGCTTCTTCCTACCGGGGAAAAAAAATATATCAGAAAGGCATCAGTGAAATTTTTTTATGGAAAAAATCGAAAGCAAGTCGTTGAATCACATTAATATACAGAATGTTATCTATGTGAAAGGATTTCATAGATTAGTTATCAGCAAAGACATAATTTTTTTTATAATGACAGAACACAAACTACCAGTCCTACGTAAAAGCTCATAACAGAAGAAACCAAAAAATAATGTGCAAAAATGGAACAAAAAATATTCTGCTGATAACTAAAATTGAAATGTCGATCAGAAGAAAACTATTCTGATACACTTCCCATATTGAGCAGAATCCTGATAGATTAAAAATAAACTACAACCCATTTCCTAAATTTTTGGGAGCCTTGCGAATTGAGTAATGCCCATGTTGGATTGAGATACTGCCTTTGTTGAAATGAGAGCACCAAACAACTAAAAAAAGATGCATCACTGGGATCCACAACGATGTGTCATAAAAGAATAAAAAAGAGAAAGAGAACACGTAATCAAAGAGACAGCAAGATTTACATAGTTTAGCTTTAATAGAGCCTATGTATGATAGAAAGGAGAGAGGATAGTCAGGATACAATCCACTATCAAAATAAAAATCACAAATGTGATGTACAAAATAAGTGAGAGTACTCATCTAGCATTTCCCATTTCCCAAATACACCAATGCACAAGAAAAAAAAAACCTAAAACCTCACACTAAGATTACCTCACAAGAAACTTTTGTTTTCACGTAGCACTCCTAAAGATACCAATCCTCCAAGAAACCTATTAGACCGGCCCTTAATGGACCGATCCAGCTGGCACCTTCTAAGGAACCAGTTCATGTTTAAAGGAGAAGGGGGGAGGCAGCAAGAGGGAGAGAGGGATTGGGTGGGGTCCACTAGAGATTCAAATTCAAAGTTTTGGGCCAAAGAAGGGGGCGGCTGTAACACCCCACGGTACCCTATAACAGTACTGTAGAGTGTAACAAGAATTAAACATAACATCTCATCACTAAACATCTCATTCCTTTTATTTCATTTCAGATCTATATAAGCGGATCATATAAACATTATCTAATACAACAAATGAAGCATCTAATAATTCTCAAGTTTCATCAAAGATTTAGTACATAGCCACTAAGAAAATCCAAACAAATGCAAAATAACACAACATTAAAATTGTTTAATAACCTCAAGAGTAGACTTCAAAAATTTAAAATAAACAATAACATACAACTAAAATACTTATATATCAAACTTCCTCCACTTTTTTCTTTTCTTTTCATGTAAAAACAACCAGTAATAAAAATACTGGTGAGCTATGAGGCTCAGCAAGTTATGCAAAATTAATTAACAACTAAAATAACATAACATGAATAATTACAATATTGAAATCATTACTGAAAATATAAAAAGTCATACTTAACATCATGCTTCACTACTTTTGAATTTCTGTTGAATATAAATTTTATGTGAAAGATTTGACTATACTTTCTTAACTTTATTCAATGGAGCCCAAGTAAACCTAGCATTATCGTCATTGAAATTCATAGAGGACCTTTTTGCCTCTTTGGGGTCTTTTTTGCCCCACCTGCCAAGTAGGTATCATAATTCATGGGGTCCCTTTTGCCCCACTTACCATGTAGTTCTTGTATGAGAACTCTTTTGTCTCAACTACATTGGTAAAACATATATCATATATATAGCAAAACTTTTCCTTAATTTAGTATTCAACATTCTTTCATAATCACATATCATATTTGCCTTCATCATCATTCATGATATATATCTTGTGTAAGATTAATATGCATAAATTTTCAAGAAATATTTACATCCTTCCAAATCCTTCTTAAATAAAAAACTTTTAAATAACCTTATAAAACATTATCTTAAACTTATATAATAGCAAAGGTATAAGCATTAGGTCATATTCAAAAGCTTGGAGAAAAATATTCTAAAGCAATTTAAATGATTTATAACACATAAGTTTCTTTAAACATTAATTTTGTATTTCTTGCCTTCTTGACGAATTGTTTCTTCCACTCCGTCCCTTCTTAATTGTCTACGACTGTAACTTACTTCGAAGCTTTCTCTTTGCATATGATCAAATTTATCTATGACATCATAATTTATAGCATCTTTAAGGACTTTTACTATTAATTGGAAATCCACACTAAGCACATACCAAAGAACTTACCTTGATTTCCTTTTCCTAAAGTTTTTCTTCTTCCTTCAATCTAATCTTTTAATCTTTCTTCTCCACTTTAACCTCTTACTTTTCATCCATTGTTTCTACCATTAGTTTGCATACCTACACAAATTTACAATTCTTCATATAGTTCTAAGCAAACATCTAAATCTTGATAACAAATCTCTAATAAACTTCTTCCATTTACCTGAAGTACTGAATTTACTTATGCTTCACACGTTCACCAAAACCCTTACTCAAATTCTCTTTTTGACTCCAATCCCCACGGCTGCTATGCTTGCCCGACTCTTCCTGTCATGTCCTGATCACTTCTTTGCTCCTTGCACTATACTGAGAATTCTCCTCAAACTTCACTATGTTGCCCTTTGCAAATCACTGTGCCGAACCAAGCACAGTGAAGATTTCTACTATTTGGCTAGACTTTTTTTCCGAAATGTGCTACAGGGAAGATTTCTACTATGTCATTTCCTTCAAACAGTGGCTTGCATAATCTCCAAATTAGATAATGATATAAGGAGTGGACCCCACACAGCAACTGCTACCCATCTACAGCCATCAGAATCATCTTTTGGAAATTAAGGAATAATTTACTTAATTTAATATATTATTGATTAGTAATACTAATGATTATTTTTTCTTCATAGAAAAAATATAGTAATTAAACTGAGTAATACCTCAATTTCATGGTGTTACAGTGGCAAGGGCTTTTGGATCTTTTTGTGCTGCCTCGATGCGCCTCGGCGCCTCAGGTACTGAGGCGTACGCCTCCGTGGAAAAAGCGTAAGCCTCGCCCGGACGTTCGAGGCTTAAGCCTCAGTTCGCCCAACCTCCGCCTCGAGGCGTCCGCCTCAAACGCCTTTTTAATCGTGGATTAATTCAACTTAAACTTTTTCTGTACATCCAATGTTTCTTATTTGTAATTTTTGCATGTAATTGCTTTCTTATGTGGCAATCATTCAGCACATATCCTAGCTTTCTGAAATGCCAACAACCACTCGAAACCTTGGTATTTGTTTATATTATGATGTTTGTTGATCTTGGTTGTGTGATTTGGACCTATTTTTGCCTCAAAGATTACTTTAGTTTTGAGATATGCACATGTTATTGATATTTAAACAGAATATGATGGGGCATCACCTTTATTTTGTTGAGGGATGTATTTGTCGAGGACAATGTCTCTGACATCATTTTACTTCATTGTAGTTGATCCATATGAGTTGCTAACTGTCTTTATTATGCCATCCTACTTTTACGTAATGACTAAGTAAAACTCAATGTACAAATTTTGTTATTGAAGTTAATGTTTACATAACTAACTTATAATCAAGTTGAACTCGGATGTGTCAGACATTTTGAGATTTAAAAATTTGCATATAAAATATATCTTGTTGACTGCAGAGGGGTCCTTATACATATTAGATAGTACCATCATCACATTTACCCTATAGTGTTTGTTTCACTGAGAATGTTAAAGGCAAACTTATGGTCAAAGATAGGAAAACAATTCTGAGAACATAAACTTGCCATGAACTATAGTTCTCATTATCAATGAATGAAGGTTTTGATCTTTTCAAACGTGTATGAAGCTTTTGATAGAAAACAGCCATCAAAATAAGGAAAACTTACAGAAATTCAAAGAAAAACAGCAAGAATGAGCAGATTTTGATGAAAAGCTGTAGGAAATCCCACAAACAGCATTTGAAATTCACTAATAGTTGAAAAGAAACACTCCGATACAATTAATCTTCAATTCAAGAGGACGATTCCACTCTCCAAACTCTAGCCCAAGCTTTAAAGCCCCAAAAGCAAACACGAGATCTCAAATTTCTGCTCAAATTCAATATAACTGTAACCCTAGTCAAAAGGAGAATATTTAAAGCACAATACAATTATTTAATGCATAATCCCTAAACAACCCTCCACATTTGAATTTTCCCCCCTAAACCCAAGCTCCCATCAATGCTTGGGCCCCACCCATGTGCTGCCCTACCTTCCCATTTCTTCTTCTTTCTCCCTCTTTTCTCCTTTCCCTTTCCTTCTCTTCTTCTGCAGCTATGTGACATGAGGGTGTGGGATTAAACTGAAAATGGATTTATACTTTTCTTATATATAAAAAGTCATTTTAGTGCTCAGCGTCACAACACTCTAACACATAGCGCTGCAGAGCTCTTTTAGAATATTCTACATGCTCCCTTATAGAGAGCTTAGCCATGCAGCACTTCCTATAACCAAAATTTTCTTCTTTCCCAAACAGAGAGCACAGCGCCGCAGTGCTCCCACAGACTTTTTGACACTTAATATTCTTTATAAATTCTAAACTTTGACTCTCATTAAAATGTCTAAAAAAATTTTAAATTAAAGATTAGAAATTGCATACCAGTTTTGTAGACACAAATAGGAGTGTTAATATTGTAGCCAACACAAATGTTCGATTCAAGCCCGACATGAAAAATTCAAATTCAAGTCAATCTATGTAATATTCGAGCTTTTCTTGTTTAATTATAATAATTGTTCATTTTGGATAAGGTTGACATTAACCTATCATAACTTAAATATTTTTGGTATCATAACTTTACGTGAGAGCTTCATCACGATCGGAAAGGGAGCTTGGTGGGGGTGGCGGCAAGGGGAGGGGGTGTATGGTTTGATTTCTTGCGGTCGGGTTATGGTGATTTTGGTGGAGGAGGGAGGTGAATTGGGGAAGCTATTGAGTGAAAATGATGGGAGTAAGTGGACGAAAATGTGGCCGGTGGCTTGGGAATGAGTTAGGGCCGGCGGCTTGGGGAAAAAAAGAAGAGCGGGATGAAGAGGATAAACCACGAGCCACGGACTCTTCCAATGACTGATGGGTATTGCTTTTGCCCTCACCTTGGGCTTTCTCTCTCACTTCTCTCTAGCTCTCATGCAAGAAGAGTAAGAAGAAACAAAATCAAATTTTCATTCAATAATTCCTCATCCTCATTACATAAAAAATGGCCATATATATAGGCCTCAAAATGACAAAGGAAACAAAAGACTAAAATGCCCATTGGGCTACAATAGCGACCAAATACTCATAAGGGTAAAAATGAAAAAACTGAAAAAAATAAAATAAACTAATACATAAAATGACTTAAAAACAAAACTCCTGATCGTGGCCGTCGATCTCCGGTGTCTCCTATGGTACACGTGTCGAAATTGCTGACGATGTTCTCATCAGTTCGATTCAAACCCGACATGAAAAATTCAAATTCAAGTCAATCTATGTAATATTCGAACTTTTCTTGTTTAATTATAATAATTGTTCATTTTGGATAAGGTTGACATTAACCTATCATAACTTAAATATTTTTGGTATCATAACTTTACTCTCCAGGTATCATATCCTCATTATGTTTGAGCTCTGTCCAGGTTTTAAAGAAGCATAAATGATAAAAATATTTGAAATGTAATCTTATTTCTATACTTGGCTTAGGATTATTTAAAATTTCCTAGCACTTAGCTGATATCAATCAAAGGAATAGCAATCCTTGAACAAACCTCCTCATCAAAATTCATGCAAATTGGTTTTGTAAACACCATCAGTCCCTCCCTTGACTATTCTAAGCCCCGGCTCAAGTATAGATGTCAACCATCATCAACATTGGTGATGACTCTAAGCAATGAGAGAAGGGTATCAACAAGACGACACTATGATCATTATGGTTTCATGAATCAAAGTTTTACACAACATATTAGAGAAAATATATGAACAAGCTTGAAGCTTTCTAATTTAGATTCAATGAAAATGGCCATCACTCCCAATTCAAAAAAAAAGTATTTGAAAACAAATGACACACGACAAGGTGGAGCATAGAGTCTGCAATAATTCAAATAAATCTAGAGGTTTTCAAATTTTTGCGAGCAAACAATGGCAAATGGATGGCAATTGGGGCAGATCGGGTGCTCCTTGACAAGAACTGCATTGAAGAAGCCAATGTACCAGACTCCCAGCTCTTGGTGCCAACACTGTCAACAAACCCAAATGCCGTTTGTGCAAGTGTAAGGGCAACTAGAAAAAGAAGACAATTGCTCAGCTCTGTTGGGCCAATTCAGTCCTTGCCAAATTCTGCTAGGGCCGATCATTATAAAATCATCTTGCATACTTCAAGATCTATGAAAGTTTGTTCTAAATTTTGGACGGATTTACCATGAGATTCATGCTTTCCTGCTATTTATGAACACTATCAGTGCCATATAGCCAACTCAAGCTCCTATAGATCCACTCTACTGCCAGTTGAGATGATAATGAACAAAATATATATAACCATTTCAATTCCCCTTATAAATTTCATTGCTAAAAATCAGGGCAAGCACACAAATGCGTCACAGTTACAATTAAAAGCTTTTTCAATCTTTGTATCTGTTATTATTGAGAGCACATAGGGGAGCATTTAAAGCATCCGGGTATAACAGCTCAACCATCTCCAATACCCATACATGGGAAAAAAAGCATCATCTTTATAAGATGATCACAGCAAAGATAGCATTTCAAGTAAGTATGATGGACGCGTCCGACAGCCGCATTCACGGAACGCACCAAATGGATCTCAACAAAGAAAGTTCTTGCAAAGGCAATACAAGCCGTGAAAAGATATGGCAATAAATACATACCAAAAATTGACGAACATCGGGCCAAGCCGATCTGTTAAAACGCTTAACTGCAATCCTCCTCGTTGCATCTAGCTTCCCCTTATAGACAACATTGGGAGCTTTCTCTCCATGCTCTGAAACAATATTCTCCGCAGCGAACCCAGACGTGGCAAGCCTGAGTTGATCGAAAGAGAACTCCTGGAATGGCGGCAGTTCGTAGGTATCTGCCTTGTCCTCTCTCACTGCAACACCAAAAACCACCGTTATCACCAAACCCCATTTCACAACGAACAGAAACAAATTAAACCACAGTCCAAAACCCAGCACACACCAACATCCGGAGGCTCCAGCACTGTTCCCTTCAACTGCGAACCCCAGCAGCAAGCAAGTAGCTTGGAGCTACTCGAACCCATCCCAAAATAGCAAAAAAGATCCACTGGCTAACCAAAAAATAGCTTCAGAGAAAGAAACTACAGAGCTCCTCCTCTAGCCACCGTCATCAAATCCGCTTCTGCAGCAAGCTGAAATCAAATTTTCCAAAATCAGTCAAATATCATCTCCAAGATCCCGCAAACGTCCTCGACAAAGGAAAATGAAGCAGAACCTGAAATCGCCACAGCAAGCAGAATCTCAAACGACTACGTAATCAAAGATCTGGAGCCGAAAAGCTCCAACCCGATCGAGATAACAGAGAGCAACAAGCATAGAACGTCCCTTATCGATCGGACTGCTCCAAACGAAAATGGAGAGAGACTGGAAGATTCAAAGCGCGTCTCTCGTACAGGCGATCGGATCTCGCCTACCTGGCGAGTACCGGCACTCGCTGTAACAATTCATTCATAATCGTTCTTTTATATCGACCGTCCTTCATAATTTTCTTTTTAAGATGAGTGCCAAATCACAAATCTATTCTATTCATCTAAAATTTCTTTCAAGCTGGCCATACGTGAACAATACAATCATTTACATCCTAAAATTACGTTTTTTTATCTTTGCCCGATTATTCTATTCACCCATTTCTCGCTTGCGCTTTGCTGTTCGATCCATTAAAAAAATTAAATAAATTAATATTATCCTCTTACTTTTCTTGTCAAATGAAAACTTGGAGTCTTCTCGCCGTCTCCCACGGGTAAACTTTTGGCTTTTTCTCTGGTATATGCTTGTCTCCGTCGGAATGGCAATAGTGCTGGGCCGTCACGTGAGGCCAGCGTGACTAGCCCGTGCATCTCAGCCGTTGATCCTGCTGACTTAGTGTCCTACCACAATGCAGACAGCACGGGTGATGTGACGGGGTGGTGACTGGGTAGGGGAATAGAACAAAAATTTTAGTGAAAAATAATCGGCCCATTTAACTTTTTAAGAAACGTATAAATTACATTATTTTTAATTATGTCATATTTGGCGTAAAAAAAAAATGTGTTTATGAAAATTACTAAAAAGTCATTAAATTTCATTTAAATCCTATTTTGATATTTATACATAATCTATCAAATCATCATAAATTTAAATTTGATTAAATAAATTATTAATTATTATTATATGTTTGCAATAATAATATATGAATTTTTTTTTTAATTTTTTTAGTTTTACTCTATTTGAGGAATGCAAAACATGGACCAAAAACTTCAATGTAAGTGTTAATAACATACATTGAACACATGTGAAGAGTGTGTCGACCTTGTTAGCAATAACATATGAATAAGTCAACATGAGTCGATATAATCATGAGACAATATTCAAATGATTACAGTTATAGTAATAGTGGTCGAATGACTATAGTTGAGAAATAATAGTCAAAGGATCAAAGTGGGGCGATAGTATTCGATGCACCATTATCAAGGAACGGTGATCGGAGGATTACTATTGAGCGATGGTGGTTGGAGGACCGCATTTGAGTGATAGTGGTGGGATGATCATAATCAGGCAACGATTGTAGGTGGATTGTATGTCACGACTCGACCCAACACCACAAAGGTCAAGACATGCCGATCGTGGCAAGAATCAACCAAAAACTGACTCCAAGATCAAGTAGAAGAAGTTCTGAAGAAAAAAAAAAACTTCGAATTTATATAAGATAGAGCCAATACTAATATAATATAAAATTGAGGATTAATTCTCATAAATGAATTTTTTTATATATTATTCAAAAATATATGTATTATCAAAGGTTTATCTACAACAGCTCTTGACAACAGAAAGTACAATAAAAAATAAAAATCAAACTTGCAAAAATGAAACTAATTAAAAAGGCATGCCTACAACACATATTAAATCATGACATCAACACTATTCAGCTTGCTCATTACCCTTTTCCCTAACCTGAAAATGAAAGAAAAAAATAAGAATGAGCTAACACGGCTCAGTAGTCCGTCATAACCTAAAAAAGAAATCAATAACACCAATCAAAAGAGTTGAAAATACCGAAATAATAAACTAAAGTGATGTTCCAAGAGTTAAAACTAAAATGGGTACATATCCTGAATTTTAATAAATATTTAAATATCTATTGAACCATGCTAAAATCGACTAAAATATAATCAAATATTTCATTGTAATTATCATAATGACCCTCATACCTCATTTTTCCATATATACTAATTAACAACATCTCTTCTCACTACCAATATAATGTCTTCTCGCCATCAACAGAATCTCTTCTCACCACCAACATAATCTCCTCTTAATAAATGTGGGTCTCATGCTTCAAATTTTCAATACATAACATAATTGAATCCGATCTTGCCACCAACAAAATCTCTTCTTATCGTCAATTCAAATATTTCAATCTCAGATATTCAAAATAAAGTACAATCTACACTATTGAAATAATCACAATATTATTATATAAATCTATAAAAATGCTTTAATGGTTGTCAAACAATTCTTCACCATGTGTTCTACAGTTTGCTAAAACTAAGTTTTCATCATTTTACCACATTATAAAAAATTTTGTATAATAGTATTTTGAAGTTTTAACTTAATTGAAGCAATATTTTTATATGTTCAAATAAATTTTTGAATTGAAAAAACTTGCTATTTTTTAAAATCAACTAGCAAAAACTTTCGAATAAACAAAATGATCAGAATAGTTGTACAAACAACATATCAAAAGTTACACAAATAAAAGGTACCATAATCTGATAAAACTATATTTTTGTATGACCAAATTATAAAATAGAATGAAAAAATTCTAAAAACTCAATTATTGAAACTTTTTTTTTTTTGGGAAAAATTGGGGCCTAAGCCCATATCATATAAACCAAAAAGGATTACAGAAAGAAAAGTGATTGCTACCACAACTTGCCAATAGCAATCACCAAAACCTTATCAGCATCAAAAAACAGCTGCTTAACAAGATAAAAACCTATTACAAACTATCAGCATTAGCTGCTTAAATTGATAAAACAAAAAGCATTCCTAATACAAGTGATTTTAATAAAACCTTCCAGACACTGATAGCCCAGCAAACAAAACAAGCTCCGATTCAGATAAAGCAGATTCCATCTCCCAGAAGGAAAACTCCCTAGCCATCGAGAATCTGGACTCAGACTAGAGAAAAATGAGCTCGGAGGAAACCAATTTTCCCTGGTTGCCCGTAGGCCATCCAAGGGAAGCAGATACGGGAGTAGCATCATAGTCCAGATTCGGCTATCTGCAAAAACACCCAGCAGTTGGAAATAAACCAGAACATAGCCCACAGCATAGCCATCAAACCAGCATCTCAACTTTTCAAAGCAACTCCAGATAAGACCAATAATTCTTCCAGCCAATGATTCTATCAGAAATGTTTCTTCTAACATTCATAGACAGCGTAGCATGACAGATAGAGGCGTTTCCAAATCTCCTACCATTCCTTTCTTTCCAAGTATGATATATAACACAGCAAATAATCATATAAAAGAAGTGTTTTACCCTCTTGTTTCCACTATGTTTGCCTTTAATCCATTCAAAGACCTGCATTATCGAGGGCCTAAATAGGAAAGATTTTAAGCCAGGTATGACTGCAGTGAGCACCGCAAAAACATAATCACATTCAAAAAACAGATGATTAATGGATTCATTAAAGGCATAACACAGACTACATCTAGCTGGCACATTAATATTCCTGTAGATAAGAGCATCTGCTGTTTTCAGTCCACGAACTAATGCCAGCCAAGCAAAAACAGAGTGCTTAGAAATGCATTTTTTAGGCCAAATAGCTTTATGCCAACAGCAGGTTTGGTAATCAGAGTAAAATTCATCAATAAAGCTTTTAAACTTGTATGAATTGGTGTTCTTCCACAGCAAACAGTTTCCATCAGTAAATGATGGTTTGATTGCAATCATTAGGTGATAGTCTAATGATTGTGATCAAACAATAGTCCAGTGGTCGTGCTCATGATGGAGCTTCGAGATTCTTCAAACATGTTACTATTCTGAATCTAAAGCCAAGATCCCTCATGCAGAGAGTTGGGGATCTATAATAGATTTTGGAATGACATACTTTGTGAATATAATTGAAATTAAAAACACTATATTAGATGACCTATATTCATTTCATTGATCATGGTTCATTCCTCGTATAAAGCAGAAATATAACAAGCTTATCAAGATGTGGATCATTTACATTTACATCGCATTCCAATTATTCTAAAAGGAGAAGGGATCAAGGATTCAAGAAATGCAAGCCTCAAATGACTCAGGTCAAAAGTGGTACATGTTACCTCTAATTTGAGTTCATCTTTTTATAAAATACAATTTGGGCTCACCATGTTGATTAACCATCAACCATATGACATTAATTACAAACTTTGAGATTTTCAGCACCTTGATAGTCATAACGAGTTTAGTTGATATTATATTTAAATACATCGTGACCCTTCTCTATTGATTCCCAATACTAAGCTCATGATAGTATTTTTAGCAAGTACGGAGAGACTAAAGGTAAAATCACACAACTAACAAACTATAGAAGGGAAAGTAGTAGTACATCGCCATGCATGGCTTCATCTTTGGTCATACATTTCTCAACACTTTCGTGGTGGTCATCTCAATATATCATGTGACAATCAATTGTCATGCAATAGGGCATACTTTCATCATCCGTGGAGATCCATTATAATCTTCGACATGTAATCTAAAAGTATTCAAGAACATCTTGGAGGATGTGTTGTAACTTGATATCAAGAGAATAGGATATGCAAATCAATGTCAATAGAGAAGCTAAGCTCAATACCATCAAGAAGATAGAGAAGTAGATACCTTAAATATCAACCAAACCTACACCCTCTAGGTTAGTTCATATGTAATATAGCACCACCCTCCAAACAAACTCATATATTTTTTCTTAATTTGTGTCATGAATACTATGAAACAATATCAATTATGTTTTTCATTATTACAAAGTCAATAAGTTGATCAAGCCAATCAAGCAAAAACTTACAAAGTTGTTATAACTTTGGTCAAACTTATTAACATTGAGATATATGAGCAGCTAGAGGTCAACATCATAATGGAGCAAAAAAAAAAAATGGAGAATGTGACAAAATGTTATTATAAAGAGAGAGTTATCACCAACAAAGTTGTTGATCCATAACCTCAATTGGTAGGCGAACCCACTAAGTATCCTCCAAGGTGAAGCCAAATTGAACAATTTTTATATTTAGGTTTCGTATGGGAAGGTTTTCTTACTGCTTCTTAAAGTAGCTATTTAGTACAAAAATTAAAAAATTTATACTAGAAAGCTGATTTAAAAAGCAATAAAAAAATTGTCCCAAACGAATCCTAAATCATCTTGCTTGGGTTTCTATGTAATGAAGATTCCATATAATGTTGGCTTTGTGGACATAGCAAGAATAGAAATGAATTGAATATCTAAACCCATTTTGCTTTTAAGGATACAAGCACTAACCCAAAATGTGAGATGAAGTATTTTGTTAGCCCCATATAAGAAAAGAAATTTAGAACAAATAGTATCAAATTTCTTTACAAGCTACCATTAAAAAATTATTTTATTATCTAAAAAGCAATAAGATTCAAAGGCTTCATTTGAAACACCTTTTTTATTTCATTCTAAAATAACTATTTAGTATAAAAAAAATTGTAATTAGAAATATTTGTACTTGAAATTTGTTTTAAAAAAATAACCATAAGGTTGTGTAAAAATAAAAGCATTGTTTTCAAAGAAATAGCCTGATCTTCATATCCATGAGTTTTCCACTCTACTCTTAAGAAGTAAAAATAAAATTTTGAAATCAATTTAAAAGAGAAATATGAAAAAAAAAAAAAAAAAAAACCTTTAGGCCAATATTTTCTTTCAAACTTACTTTAATGCCGTGAATTGAGTTCAACAAAAATTGAAGTGACAACTAATCATATCTAACTCGAATGGAACTAAAAGTCTAAAACAGACAGAAATTTGATCAATCCAACTTAATCTCATAAAATTTCTTTGAATTGTAGTTTTATATTGACCCCAGCATGTTTTCAAGCAATGCCTACTAAGATCCGGTCAATAAAAAGTTATCAAAATAAGAAAATGTGTTGTCCAAAAGCATAAGTGCAACTGGGATAAAGAAACTAATTACAGAATATATGAAGATCGCCTAGGCACTATCAAGTAATCACAAGCTAATTAACGATTGCAACATAAGGTACATAAAGATACAGATACATTATTTGCAGTCTCCAACTACCAGCAAGTCCTCTACTACTACTACTACAACCATTGCAACTATCAAGTTCAATAAAGATAAACGAAATAAACTAGAAACAAAATACTAACAGTGAAGCAAAAGCCCAGCTGGGAAAGTTACCACTCTGAGACTTCTTCACAGCATACTATCTGTCCTTGCTGGAAGTCGCCTGAAGAAGTTTACTGGAGCAGCAGGCATCCTGTGCCTGAACCTTGGGTGCCTCATCACATAAAATCCAGCCAGTACAGCCAAAACCTGAAATGGAGTCACATACAGAACTAAGGCTGAGATCAGGCAGAACAGAACAAAAATTGCAGTAGCACGCGGATCCCTCCAGCTCAGCAGAGCCTGAATTCGCTCGCCTTGGGTTGCAATATCGCCAACGACCGTCTGAATTCTTCCTGCCACACTCCTCAGCCTATCATACCTCATCCTCACAAGCTCTGGGCTGCGGGTAGTAGGAAAAGTGTCGAACTCCTCGTCGAGCTCGTCGGGATGCACAGCCTCTGCATGTGAAATCTTGGTGTTCATGTGCGGGGGATATCGAGGACGGTAGCGATAATTCCAGACCCCAATCAAGAACATGTATAAAAACATGGTGGGGAGTATCAGCTCGGGAAAGCAAACGAGCATAATGAAGAGAATATGAACCAGAACAGTTGTGATGGGGTTCTTCCAAGTGCAAACATCGCCAAACCATTTGCTCACTGCAAACAAGCCCGAGAACACCGACATGAGCCGGAAGAAATTTGCTTTGCTTCGGCGCATACTCCACAAGTGTGAATCAACATCTGACATGTATTCGACAACTTCCTTCCGTAGTGGTGGTTCCATTCTGCTTAATCTTGCCGCCACTATCTGAACTGCTTGATGGCGAAGCATATCAAGCTGCATAACTGTTAGCGGTCGTATATAATGCATCTTAGGAAGCAATGGCCGTGCATACAAGTAAAGCATGTTGATCAACGATGTTGATGAGAATCTTATTGCAAGGTGGAGCTCTCCCATCTTCTTGAGGCCAGATGGGTGTAGGACCAGAAGTGGGTATGAGTGAGTATACACTCGCCCGGTTTCGAGGGTCGAGAGACGAATCCGTACCTTCCCAATCTTTGCATCTCTACTACCATTTGGACCTTTATCACCAAGCTGACAGTTGTCAAACACACCAACTGTGAGGACTGTAGCTGGATCATAAACCTCCCATGTGTACTGCTCATTGTATTTTGGACTAAGACTGGTTATGATGGTGCGGGTGCGGACCCATTTCTGGCCATACTTGGCCACGCAGTATGTATCTGATGTTCCTTTACCGTCTCTTGTTTTCATTGGATGGAGCCCCTCGGCACTAAGGATACCAAGTTCAAGCAACCCAATTGAAGGCTTCCATAGCTGCTTTGCCGTGGGTCTTAGATCGCTGCTATAGTGGGTAGACTCATCGAGCACATGATAGCCACCATCAAGGCAAACTCTGACATGAATGCGGCTGGCGAACTTCTCCTTCTTGATCTGATCCACATCAACCGCGACCGGCTTCTCCAGATTGAACCATCGTGTGTTGACAATACGGTCATCGGCTCGTTTTTCAATGGATGTCAATGGTATGAAAATACGTCCAATAATTTCATCTTTGTTAGGGCCTACACGGTCCTCTACTGACATTATCAGATGATCCTCAAATGGTTCAGCAGCCACAAATAACAAGTCTTCATTCCAAAGTGGATTCAATGTCCGTGCCTGGACAGTCCTCGTCTTCAAGAACTGGTTTCCTAGCTGTGCCTTGACATACACATCAGGAAAGCGAGTCTTGTCCATTGGGATGATGTCTTGTGCTTCGATGATATTCAGACGAACATACCAAAGCCTTGGGGCATGGTAAACCTTGGAGCGAATGTGCGGGCTTACGGCAGATGCATCAATAGGAGCAGCTGCATCAGACTGCCATGCATCAGGAAATGCTTCATCAGCCTGGGTGCCCATCCATACTGCAAGCATCAACTCACCCTTCTTCTTGTCACCCTTCTTGTCCTCGAGCCGGTACCATTCGGGAGCAAGAGGACTATCTGGTGGAACACGTGTTGGAACATCATTCAAGTCAAAACGCACCAGTCCAACAAAGTCATCTTTTACCAGGTCTTTATCTTTGACAATAACTTCAAGGATAGAAGCCTGCATTCTATCTCTAGCAAATGCGAAAACCTCATTCCACTCTGGGTTTTGTTTCTTCTCAAAATGTTTTGTTGTCCCCTTATAATTCCCAACTCTTACCTCAACATAAGGGTCCAAGCTCCCAGTTACATCCATGGCAGGTAAATCTCTCGCTTTCACCACACGTACAAAGAGGTACTGCATCTGCTCCACAAGATCATATGTACTGGCTGGCTTCTCAGCACGAATGACCCGACCCCCGACAATCTGCCCTCCACCAAGAAAGGGGCTTGTTTCTTTCAGCGCATAGTCCACAGGTTGTGCAGATGCTGAGGATGAGTACATCCTCACTATTCTGGGCGGAGGCGGTTCCGGTTTCATCTCATCAGCCATATATTTTGGCTGATCACTGACCTGAGCTGAAGAATTGTGCTGATGGGCAATGTGACTTTCTTTTGGGATGCTGCGAAAAGTATTCCGAGACTCGGACCTGCTTTCTGGATTGTGATATGAAGCTGTACTTGAAAATTGGGTCTGTCCTTGATGGGTTTGCACTGGAGAGGAATTATTCAAAATAGGATCTGATGTTGGCAGAGGGTTGGAAGTTTTAACAGAGGGGTCATCAGTAAGAAACACCTTAAGTCCAACCTCTCCTTTCACTCGTGAAAAAATTCCACGCTTTTCCAAGGGATAGTGGAGGACCACAGCATCAGAGTAGGGAACAAAAGAAGTTCCAGCGAGCTGGACTTTCCCTAGGAAGGACTTGTAATTAGTGGTTTTATTCATGTTGTAGATATAAGCTTCAAGTGTAAGTTCAGGTAGATTAGAAGGATCAGAAATGCTGAAATAAAAGTGCTCATTCCAGACAGGGTTGAGGTCCTTCTCCTTGATTGTTGTACGAAATTTCTGGCCATCAAAATGAAGCTCAACAAAGGCACTAGCAGAACCCTGCCCATCCTTGGGCATTAGATCATGAGCAGCCACAACCTCCACACCCAACTTGAGGTTGCTCATATCTGTACTAGTAATCTGCTCGACAGTAATAGTGACAACTAAAGCTTCCTTAGCAAATGGTAATAAAGCAAGCAGCAGTGCCTGAATAAGAAAAGAAAAGATATTAGTACATGAATATGGAAAAAAGATCTGTATGGCAAAAGAAATAATTGAAAAGTACCTGATAAAGAATTAAGATATAGACATAAATGAGTGACAAAGATTCTTAAAAAATAGAGAAACTCTGTGTTCAATCTATCCCTCAAACTCATGCATGTTTTACTTAGTGTAGACTTGAATCTAGTTCGAGTCAAAAGAAAAAAAAAGTTTTTTAAACTCAAGCCAGTTCAACATGATAATTTGAGTTCAATTTGAGCAAAACTCACTTGAAATGAACTAATTATTACCTTACTGCGTTAAAGGTGGCCGAGGGATTTTTAACTTCTACAAACAATCTATACCCTTCTTCTTTTTTTTTTACTCTAGTATATGATCACGTAATTCCAACGACTTTTCAAGATCTGTAGTTTATTCATTAATTTTGTTGCACGTCACATCTATCTTCAACTCTATTGAGACTTCGCAATTTCACCCTAGTCAATGGAAAGGAATTTTAATTGATTTTGCAATTATAAGTAGGAATTTGATGCATGAACGTGTGAATGTGTTTAATCAGATTTGTTACAATCTGGGTTTCCATTAAGTTTAGATGATTGAATTTCAATCTTCTGCATGAACTTATTGATCTTATTTCATGTTAATCTTATACAATTTGGGCATGCTTTCTATGATTCGCACCAGATACTAGGCGATACACATTACTTGGCCAGGTATAAATATAAAAAAAAATTATAATAAAAAATATTTAACATAATTTATAAAGTTTATAATTAAAAAAAATTATATTCTTAACTTATATTGACAATGTAAAACGTCCTCATCAATGTGAAGGACAAGTTTTCAAAGAAACCTTATATTTTTCTGCTAACCCTTCAGCCAAGGTAATTGAAGTCTTTGGTTAAACATTTTCAATCTTAGGATCTTTATATTATTACTTTTTAAAATTTTTAAATATATTTAATATTCAAATGTCTATATTTATTATAAACATTCATGATTAATCAAGCTTTTTAACAAGCTATACGTCAAATTTTAATCAAGCATGTTCAAGAGCCTTAACAAATGTAGTTATGTGTTTACTTTTAAAACTTTCAATTACTCTATAATTTATTTAATATTTGACTCTTTTTAAGTATGTATTATGTAATTTAAATCAAATCCTAATTCAACCTTGATTAATCCAATGAACCATGAATAATTACTTCTTCAATTAAATATAATGTTAACTTCATTACACTTAAATTGAATTCATCTAATATTAAATTTATTTTAAGTTAAAATATTATGAGATGTTTTGATTTAATTATAATACACATAATCATCCTTTTATCTATTATTTCATGCTTATATATGTGATATATATTTGAATTAGAATTTTTCATATTTTAAAAACCAATAAATTATAAAAAATGATTCAATCCAATATTAATACAATTGTTTTATGTCTTTCATTTTATATGCATTAAATAAATTAGGTTAAATTTTTGGTGATCACATTAGTTTTGTTGGGAACCATAGGATGACAAACTTTAGAAACATAAACAATTAGGGAGTGACACTCTTTTATATGTGTTTCTATTGCTTTACACTAGGTTCAATGAGTGACATAGATTGTTTTGTGATATATTCAAATTACTTGGGTTAATGGTTGTATAGATGAGAAGAGTTATAGGCTTACACATTACTCACTTTTAGGTTCGGCCCATTTAAAATAGAACACATCTAGTATATGATTTCATTGAGAACAGTGATTGAACAAATGGATTCATCATGCTAGATATAGATAGCTGGCATAGATATATAATTGATCAGCATCTAGCTCCGTTGACATCTATCATATCATGCCCTTATGAGTCTGCACATAGTTTAGGTTCCATACACTATAAGATAGATAACTTCCGCACATGCCTTAAGCCTAAACCACTTCATTTAATCAAAATATGATGTGTCATCTCCTCTTCATTTAGGAATGACTCTCCTTTTAATTTCACACACGATTATGTACATTAGATGGCATTCATGGCCAAGGAAAGATGTAAGTCCATTCTTCTAACTTCTCCACCATGTTGAGAGCATAGTTGGGCTTTCTTAGTTACACACGACCAAGATGTCCAAGCTTGTTTGATCTCACAATATCAAACTGCAAGTACCATCATTCCTATCTCATTTCATACTTCGTAGTTAGTATCTCTTCTACCATGTTGTGAGATATTCAGGTCCTTCATCATAACTTTGTGAGATATTCAGGTCCTTCATCGTAACTTACGCACATGCCTTAAGCCTAAACCACTTCTTCATTTAATCAAAATATGATGTGTCATCTCCTCTTCATTTAGGAATGACTCTCCTTTTAATTTCACGCACGATTATGTACATTAGATGGCATTCATGGCCAAGGAAGGATGTAAGTCCATTCTTCTAACTTCTCCACCATGTTGAGAGCATAGTTGGGCTTTCTTAGTTACACACGACCAAGATGTCCAAGCTTTGTTTGATCTCACAATATCAAACTGCAAGTCCCATCATTCCTATCTCATTTCATACTTCGTAGTTAGTATCTCTTCTACCATGTTGTGCGATATTCAGGTCCTTCATCATAACTTTGTTGTCATCTCTACCATATTGAGCAGATATATAGGCTTTCTCAGTCACACATGACCAAATTGTAAACCTCATTTCAAAATCACCTCTATCATATTAATGAGATGTATGGGCTTCTCGATCATATGTGATAAAGTTTTAATTCGCACACCTTGGAAATACTCTCTATCGCATTAAGTGGGTGTTGAAAATTTCAAATCTATTCCATCTTTTTTAACACATTGAGAAGAAATTTGGGCATTCTCGATCCCACACAATTGAGTCATAATTCCAATATCAGGCTCCATCTCTGCTACATCGAAAAGATGCATTCCTTTCCTACCAATTAACCTTAAAGTAAAGGTAGATTTGTCAGCCTTATCATATACCACCATGCAATACTATAAATTCAGTTTGAATTTCTCCCTCATATAGTATCATAATATAAGTCCCATATATTCGTCTAGGACTATGTTCACACCCTGAATCTGCAAGTTCTCAAATGAGACAAACTATGATAGCTAATAATGATCCTCAAATCGCCGTATGACTAAATAAACTAGGGCCACTGATAAAACTAAAACATAAACCATTTTTCTTACAGCAGCTCATTCTTTTTTCTCTAGATAGTTGCTGCCACATGGCAATGTATGATGTTCAATCTTGGGCATTTCCTTGCAATCAACATGGAGTTATAAGTCCCTCTTTTGAGTTTATTTCAATACTTTTGATTCTACCTTTTATGGTTCCCAAGAAATTCCTATCTTTTTCCTCTAAAGAGCCCTATAAGATTCATTCTAACTTTTTGACATGACAAGATCTACGTCGATCTTACCTAATTTGAACATAAACATTACTTCTTATTCAAGAGTGTTCTTGGATATGCTCGAGATGTAATTAACCTAAGAAACTTGCTCCTTCAAGAAACCACGACACCTAGAATTGAGCAACATTTCTTACTAGAAAAATCTTTGGGATTGGTATATTCAATTTGCTTTGCATTGATCCTCTGTTTAAAATTGCGCAATTAGAGGCGCGCCTTTGCGCAATTTGACCAAAAAATGCCTCGAGGCTTACGCAATTCTTCACCTGGATGAGGCATACGCCTCACCTGGACTGAGGCGCGCCTCAGAGGCGCAATTGCGTAATTCTGGGTGAGGCGTACGCCTCACAGAATTGGCCCCACCCACTTAAAATGAAACCTATTCCTCCCTTCATCCCGCACGGTCTCCCTCTTTCCCGAAAAATTTCGCTTCCAGCTCTCTGTTCGCGAAACCGAAGGCGTCCCGCACGGTCGGCCATCCTTCCGGCCGCCTCTCCCGCCGGCGCCGCCTCTCTCCGGCGAAGTTGAAGTGTCCGGCCGCCTTGTAGGAGAAGTCCACAAACGATTTTAGGT